CCAACTTTCTCAGCCATGCCTTGCACACAGTGCACAAGGATCCTTGCTGAGTTTAACTGAACTAGCTGCTGCTGTGGCCACAGGGCTGATATTAATTGCCTTGGCTCCTTGGACCTCCTCGAAGCCTAGTCTCCAAGAAGGGCCCACTCCCCTTGCTTCTGAGCCCATGGTAGTCTCTAAAGAAACATTAGCATAATTTTGATTACTCCAGTCACACTGGGGTTTATTTTCCATTCACATAGGAGAATGTATTCTCTCCCATGAGGTAGGCAGGGATTTCTTAGGACATAAAAAAAGCACTACCCGTAAAAGACAACATTGATAAATATATACTATTCTGAGTGAATGAAACCAAACAAAGTATCTATAACAAGCAAAGCTGATGTACACTGTTGCTTGGGGCCAGTGATTCGGGGTAGAGATGAGGCAGAGGGGGAACACAGAGACAGAACTTTGGAGGGTAATAGAAATGTTTCTTATCTCCATTAGGGTAGTGATATCGGATGTATATATTTGTCAAAACTCACTGAACTCACCTCACAACCATTAGAATAGCTACTATAAAACAAAACAAAACAAAACAAAACAAAACAAAACAAAACAAAACAAAACAACAAGTGTCGGTGGAGATGTGGAGAAACTGGAACCCTTGTGTACTGCTTGTGGGAGTATAAAATGGTACAGCCACTATGGAAAACAGCATGGTTGTTCCTCCAAACATTAAAAACAGAATAATTACTATATGATCCAGCAATTCCACTTCTGGGTATATATTCTGGGTATATACACTTCCAGATATATATATATATAGTCTTTCAAAAGAATCGAAAGCAGGGACTCAGTGACATCTGTACATCCATGTTCACAGCATCATAATTCACAAAAGCCAAAAGATAGAAGTAATCTACCTGTCAACTGATGAATTAATGGATAAACAAAATGCAATACATACATACGATAAAATGTTAGCCATAAGAAGGAAATTTGATACATGCTATAACATGGATAAACCTTGAAGACATGATGTTAAGTAAAATAAGCCAGACACAAAAGGACAAATACTGTATGATTCCACTTATATTAGGTACTTAGAGTAGCCAAACTCATAAGACAGAACATAGAATGGTAGTGCCAAGGGGTGGGAGAAGGGGTGAATAAAAAGTTATAGTT